CCCCCCCCTATATAGTCCCCGGTCTAAGACGGAAAATGTCTTAAGACGGAATTTTGTTCCCTAGCTTCCTAGCGATTCCCTCTTACACAGGGTCGGTCGACTGTAGTGGCGTCCAAAACAAACTTGAGAATGTGATCACCCAATCATATTGTTAAAGCCTTGCACAACTCACTCATGCAGCATATCAATATAAAGTTAAATAAATTCTGCATCATCTGACGCATACTATTCTATCTATGTTAAGAGACGCCGGAGATAAGATCACTCAAAATTGACCTTTAAAAATCTGATTTGGCAAAATTGTGCAAAATCAAAGAAAAGTAAAATTGTCTTCGCGCATGTATTGAGGAGCATCAATATATATTGATTGATAGAATGGACTTACATTGTATTTCCAGTGAATGGAGAATTTTGTCTCTGCAAAAAAACCCAACCCAATATTTTATAACGATAGTTTCAGACAAAACTGAAAAACAGAGCAATCACAAATACTACACAAAACTTGAACTTAGCATTTAATGTGTCCATTGTTATTTTGCTAAGAACCATTGGTTTTGGGCAGAGCAAGAACTTTTTGGGCATGAAACGCAGTTATATTTTGGACATAGTTATATATTGTCATTTCGTCAAAAAGTCACGGAGAGTTGGAAATAAAGCAAGATTAGGAGCAAATTCACTTTTACTCAGCTGCTGTTTTATGGGACTTCACATGTTCTGTTGGATTTATATCGGGGCTATTTACTGGTGACCACTCCAACGTTGAAATGATTTGGTTTTTCAAGAATTGTCCAGTGGCATTGGCCCTGTGAGAAAGTGCTTTGTTATTCATGGACATGTGTCTACTTGAATGACACAACGACGAAAATAAGGGTAAGACATGGCGTTCCAGCTCTTGCCCGATATAGTCAACTAAACCAAACCACCCGGTGATTCACATGAGGGAGGTTTTGTTCATTCCACCCCAAACCACCCAAAACCATGGCAAATTGCAGTTTCATGGCCTCTGTTCCTCAATGACTGACGATTATGTCCGAAATCTAACTAACACAGTCCGTGTGCAAAAACAGTTTCATGCTCTACACACGAAACCAATCGCTCCTTAACCAAATCAAAAGTATGTGAGCACATGTAATGTTAAGACCAGGTTTTGTATGGTATGTGTAACTAGTCTGTTTTCAAATCTGTTTGAAAATATCATCTGAAAACACTGTTCATTGCAGAGACAATACACTACTTTCCTTTCTTTTGATATTCAATTTCAATAGAAGTCCATTCCACTAATGTTGATGCACCTCAACACGGGCGGGAACACACTTAGATCTATGTTTCTTTGATTTCGCACAATTTTGAAGAGCCTGATTTTTTATTTTTTAGACGCCATTAGAGAGAGAGAGAG